GCCAGCATTATCTTTGTATACAGTCCTCTTACTCACCAAGACCTTCCACTTGAGGGGAAGTTTTTGGAGACAAAATGTCTTTATCAAGGTGAACACCTTGCAGGCAGCCCAAGGCACATTCCATCTTGGTGGCTCTCTCCTCTCTGGGTCAGCCCAGCAGTATCGAGATTCTGATGGCACTTTGGTAGAAGCTGCTGCTTCTAACCGTGTGACCTTGAACACCTGAGCCATGGTAAAGACCTCTAACCAGGCCTCAGTATCCTCTTTTGGTTCAATGAGAGGGCTGGCTAAACTAAATCTAAGAATCCATGCCACCAAAGCAAACCAAACCTGTTGCCGTCAAGTCGATTCCGACTCGTTTAGCGACACTATAGGACAGGGTAGAACTGCCCCATAGGGTTTCCAAGGCTGTAATCTTTCCAGAAGGTAGCCCTGATGGCAAAGTGGTTCGAACCCACAATCCGCCCCACGGGAGGAAGATGTGGCAGTCTGCTCCCATAAAGATGACAGCCTTGGAAACCCTATGGGGGCAGTCCTGCTCTGTCATACAGAGTCGCTGTGAGTTGCAGTCGACTCGACAGCAGTGGGTTTAATCTTTGTGGAAGTAGACTGCCGCTTCTTTCTCCCGCAAAGCAGCTGGTTGGTTTGAACCACCGTTCTTTTGGTTAGCAGCCAAGTGCATAAGCACTGTGCCACCAGGGTTCCTTGAGAGCCGCCCCCAGTCCTGACAGTTTCCAGTGCTTAGGTGGGAAGAGGTGGGCTTATGTAAATGAGCCTTCCAGCCTCCGTAGGATGGACTGCCATAAATAGACAGTTTAAAGGGTGATGATTAGGTAATAATGGGTAGCACTGAGAAATGGTTAGGAACAAATACCTGAGCGGGACATAGGGACCTAAAAACAAATAGGAACATACGCAAAACAAAAACCAAACCAAGCCAAAGATACACCATCACTAACAATAATAAAAGACCCCTCCATAACATTACTTCAGTTGAGAGAAATAGAAACCACATTGCATCTGTTTCTTATCAAAGACACTTCAGCTGCTAGCCAGCAGGGTTCCTTCATTCACTGTGGGCCAGCGCTTCTCAAACGTCGCACATGATCACCTGGGACTTGTTAAAATGCAGCTTGTGCTCAGTAGGTCTGGGGTTGTCTCCAGCAGAGTCGGCCCTTCTAACAAGCTGATGATGCTGATGCTGCCGGCCCACGGGCCACACTTTGAGAAGTGAGGTTGTTGGCCCAGCCCTGCCCTCTCTGTGGCCACGTGCAGCCTGCTTCTCTGCTGCTCTCTTGCCATCCTTGTCTTCCTCCTCTCCTTAATGAAAGATGTCAGGCATCTACTATTGAACCAGGCAGTCTCATATTTAAGCTCTTTGTCCAGGAAAATTAAAAAAAAGAAAATTTCAGATCCCTATGTGTCCCTCCCCACCTCCCCCCCAGTACTGAAAAATGCTTTGTGCAGCAGGGTGCTTCAGGAATGGACCTCAGTGTATCCATGCTTCCAGGGACACAACTGCTAGAACAATGCTGCCAGGGGATCTCAGGGGGAAGATGGACTGTGCTAGGGCAGACACCTGCTTTGCCCTGGAAGGGATGGCCTCAGGAGCCCTTCCTGGCTCCTGGAGATGTCAGTCAACTAATACTTGTGCCCTGTTCTGAGGGTAGCCAGAAGGCAATGTTGCCCAATCCTGAGCCAGCTTTATGATTGTTGGTATGTCTGAGTCTATTGTTGTGGCCATTGTATCAGTCCACCTCATTGAGGGTTTCCCTCATTTTTGTTGGCTCTCTGCTTTACCAAACACGATGTCCTTCTCCAGCGATTGGTCTTTTCTGGTGATGTCCCACACTATATCAGAAAATATTCCATTGTGATCCATAGGGTTTTTATCAAGTAATTTTCAGAAGTGGGTCGCCAGGCTTTTCTTCCTAATCTGTGTTAGTCTGGAAGTTCTGCTGAAACCTGTCCACCATGGGTGACCCTGCTGGTGTTTGAAATACTGGTGACATAGCTTCCAGCATCATAGCAACGTGCCAGCCACTACAGTATGACAAACTGACGGATAGATTTTGGGGGGTAGGGAAGGTATAAACTTACAGAAGTTTTCTCCCTCTAGAACTAAGCTTTATTAGCCCCAAATATTTTTAATTCAGCCTTGATTAAAATCAAGATGAGCCCAAAGACCACGTGCTTCTGTGGCAGAAACCTTAAGAGGGTCCAGGTGCTTTAAGAACGCAGAGCACTCAGTCAGCAAATTGCCTGCAGTAGATAGTTAAGGTAGATGGAAGATGGATACACTGGCTGTCGTTCATTTTAAATCAGATCTGTCTATTTTGTACTTTGTCATAAATTTGAGATCCTATCCAAGTGTTTTACTAAGTAAACAAGTGATAATGAAAGATTTATTTTAATAGCTCCAAGGACTATTGACTTTTTGAGATGATGACTGTCATGGGAAACTATTTGTTAAAACGTTTGCTGTAGAAAACTATTTATAAACCTGTGTGTTGTAGGAGGTTGATCTATGCTGCAACCTAGGGGTGACAATCACCTCTCTGATCTGGTTCTAATTAAACAGCTCAGCACACTGCCTCAGAAATGCGATCAGAGCTAAAAGCATCTATTGGTGTAAAAAGGTTATTATTCAAGTAAAATAAGTAAATGATGCTGACAATTCACATTGAAACATAAAGCAGAATCTCAGTTTTTCATGGCATCAACATCCAACTCTCTAAGAAGTCTTTCTGTCTTCTTTCTGATCCTTTATTGCTAATGTCTAAGTCATAGTCTATTAGGTATCTTCTGCTCTGTAACCAATTACTCCAGGAATCAGTGGCTTAAAACAACAAAAATGTAGTATCTCATGGTTTCTGTGGGTCAGGAATCTGGCCACGGCAGAGCTGGGTTCTTCTGTCTCAGGCTTTTCGCAAGGCTGCAATCAAGGTGTCACCTGGGGCTGTGGTCTCATCTGAAGGCTTGACAAGAGAGGACCCGCTTCTGTGTTCACTCACATGGTTGTTGGGAGGATTGTTGGCTGCTGGGGGGCGGCTCAGTCCCTGTCCATCTAATTTAAATTGGTCATTGCTTCCCCCTTCATCCTCTGCATAGCCTTCAGCACACCCTGATTCTGCTCCCTGCTTATTTCCTTGTTGGTTGTCTGCCTTACCCATGAGAGTGAAACCCCAACAGGCCAGGGACCTCGTCTTTCTTGGTCACCCATTTGTTGCCAGCCCCCTTACATGGTGCCTGGCAAACAATAGGCTCTCAGTGAATGCTTACTGAATCAATGAATGACTCAAACACACAGACATGGAATGATTCCAAGGAGCTCTTTGGAAATTATAAGATCTTCATGACTTCCAAAGAAAATGTCATTTATTCCATTAACATGCACAATACATTAATTTATTAAAGAAGAAACAGGCTCAAGATTGTAGGGTACTTTTGTCCCTGTAGGTGGGTCATGAGGCAAGCCACGTCACCTCTCTGCACCTCAGTTTCCTCAGAGGATAAAACGAGGACTGCAGACTGGGGGCCCTTACACTGTGCTACATCCCCACGTCTACTTGGCCCAGGGTGGCTCCAGATGCTGCTCCGTCAGAACAGCTCTGTTTTCCGTGTTTTCAACATTGGTCTTCCATGGAAGATCTTGTTTGAAGAAAGGATCCCTGGCCAAAAAAAAAAAAAAGTTCAAAACCCACAAGCTTCCAGGCCCACTCATAGCTAGTCCAGCTCTGCAGAGGCAGGCGTCTGCTTGCAGTTCTTATGGGGTGTGAGGATAGAGACCTGCAGCCCGCAAAGCTTTGGCCCAGCAGAACCAGAAGGAGAGCAAGCCTGATAATCTCGCTTCAGGAAACCCAGAGCCATTTCCATGAAGGAGAAGAACCCCGTCCGCTGCCACGCCTCCCCCCAGCCTCACACCTCACGTATGCCCGCATCGAGCTGCCTTTGAAATGTTAGCTTCATTTTTCTTTTTTTCCCACGGTGACTAATTTCAAGATTTCATTTCTGGCACTGCATTTCCCAGCAGATAGCCCAGAGTTTCTGAGCTCCAAGTTTTATAATTAAAATCCCATCACATCCCCCTGAACAGCGCAGATTGCGCCATTAAGCGTGGCATAAAAGATTTGAAAGCACTTCACCTAGTAATTTAAATATAATACTTCTGGCAGCATTCACTCTTTAGTATTTTTAATTCTAATTAAGAGACTCTTAATGAACATTAATATCCTATATACGGCATTCCGTTGTGGCTCTGTGCTTCGTTTTGGCTGTCTCATTTTCCAACAAGCAGCTTGGTGGCATGGCTGTAGCGGCCCACGTGTTTTTTCCCTAGCCTTTGGGAATCACCAGGTCCCAGGCATAATTAGTATAAATCAAAATCCTCTAGACTATGACAGGGAAATGGTATGTTTGAACAGCAGCTTATTATTACAAAATGACCTACTTAATTTAAGAAAAATACTGGATCTGCTCACATGGCGTCTTAGTCTCCAGCAGCTACCCTAACAGAATCCCACAAAGTGGGTGGCTTTAAAGAACAGAAGTTTCTTTTCTTACAGTTCTGGAGGCTAGAAGTCTGAATTCAGGGTGTTGGCAGAGCTGTGTTCTGTCTCTGTGCGCTCTAGGGCAAGATTCTTCCTTGTCTCCTTCAAGTTCTTGGCGTTCCTTGGCGTTGTTTGACTTGTACATGGATCCTCAGGTGCTGTCCTCTCCCCGCGTGTGTGGCAGTTTCCACATCTGTTATCCCCTTTTATAAGACACCACTCAGAAGGAATCAGGACTAGGAGCCACCCTACTAATAATACCTTCAAAGAAAGACCCTATTTCGCCAAACAAGCTCACATTCACGGGTACAAGTGTTAGCACTTCAGCATATCTTTTTGGGGGACACAATTCAACCTATAGCACGTGATAACCTGGATACTTTCCCTGACAGATTGTATAACACCATCTCCCCCTCTTCCTTCCTCCCTCTTTCCCTCCCTTCTTTCCAGAAAAGGAAAGGGAATGGAAAGGCCCATTCTACTTCATCCAAGGTGCAGACCCGCAGTTTGGACTGATGAAGGCCTGGTCTGTTGGAGACTGTGACGGAGGCGGTGACGAGTGGGGACAGGAGATCCGTCTGACCGAACAAGCCGTCCAAGCCATCAACAAGCTGAACCCCAAACCCAAATTCTTTGTTCTGTGCGGTGACCTCGTCCATGCCATGCCAGGTAAGACTTTGGTTGTCACCTGTGACCTTTTCTTCTTCAGTCAGTCATGACCACCTTTGGGAAGGAAAAAAAATAATAAATGAAGCTTAAAAGAAGCCTTTATGCAGTAATGGCTCATTCCTTCTCTTCATGACTGTTGCAGTGGCGTTGAACATCAGAAAATGCACACTCATTTTATATTTAGAATTTGTCGAGATTAATCATGGTAATTAGGCAGAGCTGCAGCTCTGATGAGCTGAGCTTCATATGAAAAATAGCACAGATGCCCACATGTCACCTTTCTTCACTTCCAGGGAACAAACTCCATCAGTGTCGTCTTCTCTCTCACTGCCCGTCTTCTCTCTCACTGCCCATCTTCTCACATGCTTATTAACTGCGTTTGTCGGTGCTTTTTCCGTTGCAAGTGACAGAAATCTAGCTTAAACTGGATTAATTTTTTCTTTTTTAAAGGTGTATGTTGCCTCATGGGACTGTAAAGTCCAGGGGTAGATCTGAGCTTCTAGTGGGCTGGAGCCAGGGGCTCAGAGGTTGTTATCAGGATGTGGTCTCCATCTCTCAGCTCTGCTCTCCTCTGGGTTGACTTTGTTCTCATGTGGGCTCTCCCTAGATGGTGGCTCCTGGGAGTTCTCGGTTTATATCCTTTTTTATAGAAACCACAGCAGAAAGAAAGTACCTTATTCTTGGTGGTCCAATCAAAATCCCACACCAGTTTTCTGTCCCCCCTGAAACCGTGGGATAGGGTCAGCTCCACTGCAACCACATGGTGTGAAGAACAGGAGATTAAAAAAAAATGAGATACTGGCAGTGCAAAAATAACAGATACCTTCTAGAATTTTCTTCCTTTTTTTTTTTTTCCTCCTACTCTGATACTCTTTTCTCTCAGGCAATAATAAAGCCCAGTAAGCAAGTAGAAGCAAGAGGAGACTGCCCCTGCCTGCTAGGGAGGTAGAGCTGGCCCCAGTGACCACCTCTGCCTCCTTACCTGTGTCGCTCTGCTTAGTGGGACAGACAGGACCTGAGGACCATTGCTGAAAACACTGCAGTGGCCAAGGATGTTTGTTCCTGGCCGACTTTACCATGTAAACCAAGATTCCAAGTCCCGCTATGACGTCATCTACCTCCTTTAGAAACTGAGGTGCTATGTAGTAAGCCAGGGTGTGTTAATACCTCCTTGTCGAGACTCACTTGTCTGGTAGCATACTTGTGTAGAACAAAACCCCAAATGAAGACCTAAGAATGGAAAAAGGGTAGCCAGAATTGCTCCCCCTGTAGTCCAGGGAGTTTAATCAGCAGAGATAACCCTCAGACCTCCCTCATTTTCTGGTTACTTGTATTTTACATGAAGTCATGAATGTGGACATGCCCACATCATTGACTCCCACCAGGCTGAACCCAGCGATGCCATCCCTGGAAGAGCAACCTGCCCTGGTGTGGGGTCTACACAAGAGTGGTGGGACAGGGAGGAGGGAAGACAAGGCAGTAGACAAAGACCTCAACTAGGACTCAGGAAGCCGAGATTCCAGCCCCACGTCTGCCACCGATGTACTGGGAAAACTTGGACAAACCTCTTACCCCCTTAGGGCCTCAGTTTATAAGCCAAGAGTTCATTGAAGCAGCAAAAATTAAAACCTCAACAGTCTGGGACTACATAGCACAGGAGCCAGCAACTCTATCCCTTCATACAGGTGATGAACATCTCAGCAGCTCAGTACAGAAACACGGTCACAAGGATGGCCCTATGTTTTGTTTTGTGGAAAGGTAAATTTTAGCTGCTTGTAAAACCTGGCTACTCTTCGGTGACTCTCCTCTGAGGGTTCCCAAGTGATGAGATTGTACAGTATTGAAGTGACTGATAAGGTTATGTCTTACTTGACCAAACAGGTCAACATTGCTTCCAAATGGTCTGGTTTGCAGTTCGGTTTCCTTGGCATCATATGGCCCATTAGACGCTGTGGCGTCACTCAGTGAGTAAGCTTCTGCTTTCATTGGACACTTGAAAATAAGATTCAGAATTTAACATTTTTCTGCCCAGCAGTTTCTTTTCTTTCAAAACAGAATGTTATGGAACTCACTGGAATTATGTAACATGTTCTTATAGACGTTTACTGATTTGTTCTGAATTATGTTAATGTATTCCATCATATTTCAAAATAAGATTTAAAATAAAAACTCTCCATGTGATTTCATTGCTTCTTGAATAAAATATAACAAGCATAAATAAGTTAAAAGATGTCGTTTTTATGAGCAACCCTACCACTTAGTCAAAAGACCTCCTAAATGTAAACTGGCGAACTTTTGAATATCTATTTTATTTTCAGTGCTACCTGAGCAGAATCCATATCTCTTCTGGAGATTTGGACTGTTTTATGGGGTTTTAACTAATCCAGTGAAAGGACTGTAACTGTTTTGAATGTTGTGGCCTGAGATGAAACAGAATGTTTTAAAACTGGTCACCATTTTTTAATATACTGTAAGTGGCTTCCCTCTCATTTAGCTCAGAGGCAGGGCAGACACTAGAAAAGTAATTATTTGCTTTGACTACTTAGCACATTATTAATTATCAAATGCTTATTATTAATAGGCAAATAAAATCAGAAAGCATACTTTTAGTTCCACCATAAATAATGTCTTGGGCCAAGTAGATTTAAGTTCAAAATGCAGAAAAAGAACTTTTAAGAACAATGCTTTTATAACGAAAGTAATAAGCCTTTCCGTTATAGATATCGATCATAATGTTCATTCATCCACAAGTATTTATTGTGTGCAAACTGTCGATTACAGTGCTAGATGCTGTGAATTTAATAGTGGAAAGGAGAAGCCAGATCCTTCATTGGAGCTTAGAGTCTGGTAGGGGAAGAGCAAAAACATGGATGGTAAGGGGCAGTGGTGGTTCAGTGGTAGAGTTCTTGTCTTCCATGCGGGAGTCCCAGGTTCTATTACTGCCCGAGGCACCTAATGCATAGCCACCACCCATCTGTCAGTGGAGGCTTGCCTCTTGCTATGATGCTGAACATGTTTCAGTAGGCCTTCCAGACTAAGACTAGAAAGAAAAGCCTGGCGATCTACCTCCAAAAATCACCTAATGAAAAGCATATGGAATCACAATGGTCCAATCTGCAAATGATCGTGGGGATGGCACAGGACTGGGCGGCGTTTCCTTCCATTGTGCGTAGGGTCACCATGGGTCAGGGGCCAACTTGACAGCAGCTAACAACACCAACAAGGGGCAGAAGTCACTGGTGGCAAGGCTCATAGGAAAAACCCTAAGAAACGCAAGCTTCTTTGTTTTGGGCAGCACCCATTTAGCTTTGAAACACACGTTTCATTTGCGGCTGTCTTTTTGGTTATCTTGGTATTTTTTTATTTTTCACGTTGCTCTGTGGGATAAGCCACATTAAAAATAGCAAATGAAGATTTGTAGAAATATTGAGAACACTGATTTTCAGTCCTTGACTCGCGAGCCCAGGGTGACTTTCTTTGGTCTCACTGACTTGAAGCATCGTCCCACAGTTACTGTCCCCAGGAGCCTTGTTAGATTTCTGCAATTACACGTGAAGCTGAATCAGAGTGTGATGATACAGTTAGAGTGCAGGAGATTCCACTGAGCCTTCAGAATAGTTTGTGTTATTAATACACATGTTCTTGCTTATTAAACCTTGTTATAACCAAACAAAACAGACAACATGGGACAAATTCTTCCCTTGATATGAAGTCTCCTTGGAAGTTCTTGGTGCAGCTGGTCCGAGATTTGGTTTCAGTTGATGTATAGCCTCAGGCATCTCTCTGTTTTGTAATATGAGGCAAGCCTGCATGAGCATTATTTCAGTAGATGGTGCGTTAGTTTCCTATTGCTGGTGTAACAAATTACCACAATGGTAGTGGCATAAGACAACACACATTTCTTATCTCACAGTTTTGGAGGTCAGAAGTCTAAAATGGGTCTGCAGGGCTGCAACCCTTCTGGGGGTTCCAGCCTCTAGAGGCTGCCTGTGTTCCTTGCCTCGTGGCCCCTTCCTACATCTGAAAAGCCAGCAGCGTAGCATCTTCTGTCCTCTCTGACCTGTGCTTGTGTTTTTTCATCTTCTATTACTCTGGTCCTCCTGTCTGCTTCTTATAAGGACCCTTGTGATTACATTGGACCTGCGTGGCTCATCCAGGATAATCTCCTCATTTCAAGATCTTTAACTCAATCACACCTGCAAATTCCCCTTTGCCAGGTATGGTAACATATTTATAGGTTCCTGGGATTAGGACGTGGACATCTTTGAGGGCTGTTATTCGGCCTGTCACAGGGTGGCATGGAATGGGACCAGGGTCTGAATTGTGCTGCTGCCTCACCTATTCCTTACAGCCTTGAAAAGGAGGTGTCATTCATTATTCTTTCCTTTTTAACTGATGGGGAAATTCTCTCGGAGCAGTTAAGTCCTTTTCCCAAGGTTACTCAGCTTGTAAGTGGTAGAGCCAGGATCCATCTCAAGTGCATCTCTTTCCAAACCCCATGCACTTTCCACTGCAGCCTCGCTATTCAAAGGGTGGTCCCAGAACAGCAGCAGCAGTGCCACTGGGAGCTGGTTAAAAATGCAGAATCACCACCCCACCCAGACCTAGTGAGTCAGAACAGCATTTTAGCAAGATCTCCAGGTGAGTCCTATGGGCATTAAAGTTTGAGAGCACTTAATCCATTGCCGTCGAGTAGATTCTGACTCATAGTGACCCTGTAGTACAGAGTAGAAGTGCCCCATAGGATTTCCAACCAGCAGCTGGTGGATTCGAACTGCTGACCTTTTGGTTAGCAGCTGAACACTTAACCACTGTGCCACCAGGGTTCCCTGAGAGACACTTAGTAGACTAAAATGCACAAGGCCGTATGTTTTTGTGTGTTTGCATGTATTACGTATAATTCTTACGTGTTTTCAAGTGGTTTGTGAAAATCCCTTTCAACTGTTAAAAGATAACGGTGTTTAGCAAGAGATTATCATTACTTTAGACTTACCATGCTC